CTTCCCTTCGTTTTTACGTACATTGATGATATATTAGTAGCATCAGTTAGCGAAGAGCAACACAAGATACACCTCGAAAGAGTTTTTGAAATTTTGAGCAACAATAATATTAATATTAATCCCAATAAATGCACTTTTGGGGTATCAGAAATTCCTTTTCTAGGTTACTTGGTAAACGCAAGAGGTATCAAACCCCTTAAAGAAAAGGTGGACATTATAAAGCAATTACCTTTACCGATAACGGTGTGTGATTTAAAAAGATTTTTAAGAATGATAAACTTCTACAGACGCACTTTACCTAATTCGGCATTTTGTATGAATTGACAAAAAATTCAAAAAAACGTGACAAAAGGAAAATTACTTGGACGAAAGAAGCCAAAGAAGCTTTTAGTAAACTTAAAACAAATTTGTCAAATGCTACTCTTTTAGCACATCCATCTGATAATTTGCCGTTAGTACTTATGGTAGATGCATCAGATCTTTCAGTCGGTGCAGCTCTACACCAAGTACGGGATGGCGTTTTAGAACCCTTGGGTTTTTTCTCAAAGAAACTTAATAATGCCCAAAAAAGATATAGCACATATGACAGAGAACTATTAGCAGCATACGAAGGTGTTAAAAAATTCCGATATATGATAGGAGGCGAATGCATTATTTATACGGATCATAAGCCGTTATCATTTGCCTTTCAACAGCGACCTAACAAGGCTTCACCACGTCAAATGCGATATTTAGATTATATTGGTCAATTTACAAATGCTATTAAATACGTGGGGCTGGAGCTAAGAATATTTCGGCTGATTTCTGGTCAAGAGTAAATACTTTATCAGTACCACAGCAAACTTCATTGGATGATGTTGCGGATGCTCAAATTGAAGACTTGGAAATTCAACAGCTTTTAGATAGTCTTAACAGTAATAGTTCCTTAAAATTGCAAACAATCACACTTCTCAGCGGAAAAGATTTGATAGTCGACTCTAGTCAGAATAATTTTAGGCAGAAAACTTGGAAAATCAATTTTTGATTGCATTCATAATTTATCACATCCTGGAGTTCGAGGCTCGGTTAATTTATTAAAAAAACATTACGTTTGGCCAAGAATAGCAAAAGATTGCCGGTTGTGGGCAAAAAGCTGTATTCCTTGCCAAAAATCTAAAATTTGGAAACATACGTCAGTCCGGTAGGACATTATCGCAAACCAGAGCAACGATTTGAACACATAAATGTTGATATCGTTGGGCCTTTACCTAGTTGTCAAAATTTTAAATACCTAGTAACGATGATTGACAGATTTTCGCGTTGGCCCGAAGCAGTACCTGTTCAGGACATTACGGCAGAAACGATAGCCCAAACTATCGTAAATACTTGGATTGCAAGATTTGGTGTTCCAAAATATGTCACAACTGACAGAGATAAACAATTTGACTGTACCCTATTTCGATGTTTAGCTACTTGTTTAGGCATTAAGCATATCAAGACTACAGCTTATCATCCAGCTGCTAATGGCAAAATAGAAAGATGGCATAGATGTTTAAAAGTCGCAAGATCACAACTTTCCAACAATTGGGTGGAAAAATTACCTACTATTTTGTTAGGGTTACGATCTAACATTTCAACTACAAATAAAATATCTGCAGCTGAAATGACGTAAGTAAACTTTCATCAGACTATTTTAATGATTCCCCCATTGATCTAAACGCACCAAATTATATATTTAAACTTAAAGAATACATGTCAAAAATTAAACCTGTAGAAATCAAACATCACTCAAGAAAAAAAAATTATTTACCCGGAGATAAAGGAAGCCATACACGTTTTCATTAGACACGACGCACACCGCACGTCTCTTCAACCTGTCTATGATGGCCCCTTTCTTGTGCAAAAAAATGAGAAAACCTTTGAGGTCGCGACAAATAGAGGTAAAGAAACCATAACAATAGATCGCTTGAAACCAGCTTACTTCATCACTACAATTGATAGCATCATTCAAGAGAAAGAAGAGATAAAAAATGTTCCCGGGGAAAAACAATCTAATGAAAAGAGAAAAATGTCCGTTTTGCAGCTTTGACGTCACTAGGAGGGGAGTAGTGTGGCGGATCGCATGCGGGCCGGGGCTTAACAAATGAGTTATGAGTTGTTTTTGTTTTTAGAATATTGTTAATGTTAACGTGACTTTTATATTTTAATTGAATTGACAACTTTATAATTTTGAAAATAAAGCCTCTCGTTAAAAGATTTCTTCCTCCAATATTACTACAGAGTTAAACAAAATTAACACAAACTCTTAGATATCTCAATTTAAGTATAAATGGACTTAGGCCACTTTCAAAATAAACGGCTCAAATATTTCTTAGTATTAGTTATTAAAAAGGTTCACAGTAGAGACAGTAATTCATGACTTTTAATTGTTTTTCCCATTTCATTATCAATCAGTATATAATACGAACGTTAATCTGGTGTACCCATGGGTGTACAATATGTAAGGTTTAATAATATGACATTTCTAAAAAGTCTAACTTTGACACTTTCAAATTTATTTTTTTTTAAATGTCTCGATTTGGTAAAACAATAATCAGAATATTAGGCATTCCAACGACCTGTCCAAATGGCTACCAGTGGGTAATGACAGTTTAGATATGGCAACCCTGTTGTCATGTTGTCATTAACAGGGTCAATGATACATATATAGTTATATAGATTGCTCCAAACTGGTCGTTTACGAGCGGCCATATTGCCTGGCAAATATTTATTATTTTGAATCGGTTTAGAAAAAATGTGTTAAACTAATTTTTAGCCTTTAGACAATAAAAAAAAATAATTGCTTACATTTTTACTTTAAAGCATAAGCTTATGTTTATTTTGAAAAATATGGATGATCAATCTATGTAACTATCTATTTCATTGACCTTGTCAAATCACCAGGCTTACAGGGTTGCCATAATTTTGCTATATCATAACCCGTCAAAACCCACTGGTAGCCATTCAGTTTGGAATGCCTAATTGATATAATAAAGAATTGGGCAGAAAATATGATAAAAGAAGATGGTACCGACTTCAAAGAATGTACAGTCACTTTTTTACAGTTACTTTTTATTAAATAAATGAGTTAAAATATGCCAAAAATTTTTTGACCGAATAGTCCTCGGTCAGTGATAAATACTCATAATTTTTTTTAAATACCTCAAGCACGTTTTTTATGCAACGTGCTTTCGGTAACTGAAAAAAAAATCATTTCTAATTATCGCTGTCCTTGGGATATTACTAATGATAATTTTCCTTAAAAACTAACTAGAAAAAAATACTTTCCGACAATTAATTATAAATTTAGTCTAGTTTATGTCCGTCAAAGGGTGTATTTTTAATACGAATACTGTATGTTAAGAAATTCTGAAAAATTGGGGGACACCGTCGTCAAGTTTGCACCAATTGTCGTAAAATATTCTGCTCGGGATGTGCTCTATAAAGAGTGCTGACCCGAAATTGTGTCAACCCCGTACACCGTCTCACTAACCCTCAAACGTAACTGTAATCATAACCGCAATCGTAACTGTAACTGTGCTGTAACCGTAACCCCTCTGTATCCCGTTTCCCTAGTCATACCCCAACCACTTGTATCCTCCATAGTTGATCATCCAAAAGTTATGTTTTGTTTTCGATTAGTTGATCATCCGAAAGTTTGTTCATATTTTTTTTAGATACAGACCTATTTTTACATACAAGTGTAGAAAAATAAATCTAAAACTAAGTTTTATCTTAATTTTCTCTGACCGACTCAGGGTGATGTGACGAAATCACTAAATTTTCCTATCTTTTAATAATAATTTCCACCTGTTAGCATTCTCAAGAACCTACGCATTTTGGTTTCTTAAAAATTCCAGTTTTGAACGTTTGCTAGAGCCCCCGTACTTCAAAATATATAATTCTTTACTTTAATTGGAATCACGCTTTGAACGCTTAAATTTAGGACATTTTATTTTAGTCCTATGAATTGTAAATATTGGCTACTCCCACTCCGAACCACTCGAAAACCGAACTAGTCCAAGTACAAAGTATAAAACCCGGCTCCCCGAGAATTATTTTTTCGCTGCTCTTTTCCAGTGACAAATTTCCGAATTCTTATTAAGAAAACCGTTATTGTGAACACCGTCGTTTTTTTGCACTGGTCGTCCGAACTTTGAGAAAATATAAGGTGACATTCCATTTGTAAGTGACCACCTGGAATTTACTTACCTCACTGGGGCTACTTTGAGTGCAGTCTAGGTGTACTCGAGGTCACAGAGTAAACGGCGTTATCAAAACTGGCGCCCAGGCAACCCTTGTTCTAGATTCTAGAACAGCCTGGCGTAACCCACGCCTTCCAACTTACTACAAGTAAAGCGAACATGAACCATACTAAATTTCTGATTGATTGTCGAAAGCATTTTTTCTAATATCGGTTTTCAAGGGAAATTATAAATGTTACAAAATAGGGGCAACTTTGATTAAATCTACAAACAGTCGATTTGGAGTGCTCGCCATTCCTTTAATTGTCAAGCTATCGATTAAAAAACTATTCTAAAGTGTATTTATTCAGGCAAATGTGAATTTTGAAAATTAATTATGCCCATCCGTTTGGCCCATAGTGCTCGCGAAATGAAAGCAGTGCAAAACATGAAAGCTCTAAAGTGTAAACTGTAGTACTTTCATTTTTTGTGAAAAATATCCTCTTCTAGATGAAGACTGGTCAAAAATGTATCATTTCAGCAAGCTGTTTGCGCAGCGTTCTTAAAAATACTCGATTTTTTGTAAAATAAACACTCCTAAAAAAATTCTAAGCCAGATAGCCCGGGAGAAAATGGAATGGGGATCAATCAGGACATCGAATTGGACCAACATACTAATTTGTAGCTTTATTCTAATTTTTTACAAATAAAACCCCTGTTCTGAACGCTTCATTGCTTGGGGCTATTAATATTGCAAAAATAAATTAGATTTCCTAAAAAATTATTTCTTTGTTTTAGGTATTTTTGGTAGTTTTTATCCACAGTGTTCTTGCCCAAGGACGGCCCAGGACCATACCATCGCCGTCAGGAAGTAGCCCAGATGGTAATGCACGAATATTAAGTGGCAATAACGAATTTAATTTTGATGGAACGTATCAGTGGAGGTAAGCCGCTTTTATTATGTATTCATAGTAGTCTAATCAACAAGTTCAAAAGCGTGTTTTTGGGACATACTATTACGAAAATTATGTTCAATAGCTCATTCGATTCGGAATAATGTCTAGATCAATATGTGAAGAAACATTTTGCAGTGGATAAAAAATTGCAAAAGTTATAAACAATTATACACCTCAAAAACATGGTGTTTGGTTTTTCGCCTATAGTTTGTAAACTATAAATATTTTTGTATTTTTTAAATAAGATCCTTAAAGAGAAGGAAATTTGCTATAAATAAGGTCTGACTCCCGGAACTGTACCTCCATTATTTATAATTTTAATTTAACGCTCAAAGTAGCCTTCCGCGCGCCATTTTTAGGTTGCGCACACGGCGTCGAAACCGAGTACGTTACATAAAATAATTTTTTTAAGTTAATAAAATTAAATTCAAAAATTTAAAAAAATTACGGTGTTTAGAAGAATTCACTCCCGTTGGAATTTTTCATAAAAATAAATTTTCCAACAAAGTAGGTTATTGTTAATTAACAAAATTTTTAGAATTTCTCTCATAATTACAAATTGATAAAAATATTAAATATTTACCGTAAATTTTTTTTTGCTTCGTGGAGCTCTTTTTATATACATATAAAACAAAATAGCTTAATAAAAGTTAAAAAATGTTAATACTTTGTTTATAATAATTTTTTAAAGTTTACAAAAACAGAAAAGTCACAGTGGTGCTATAAAAAATTTTTTTTTTCAATTTATTATAATATTACTGTTTTAATGTCGAGAAAAAACATTTATTAATTAAAAAAAAATGTTTTTATTCCATTTGTTTATAAATTTTTTATAAACAATTAGAGTATTTAAATTTTTTTCAAATTTTTTTTCACAACTTTCTAGACAATTGCCAATTATTATAATTTAAAAAAAAAATTTTTCCCAATAATAACTTTTAATTGTTTATAATCGTTTTTTTAATATATCTATTGTTTAAATTATTAGTTAAGAAATGTGTTTTTTTTTTAAATCATAATTGACAGTCCTCTACAAAGTGACAGCAAAAAAATTTTTTTATTAATAATTTCATTGTTTATTAAGTTAACAATTTGTTATAAAAAAATTCCCAACTTTGGTTCATTTTTTTTCCTGAAAGAAATAAAAATTCCAAAAACGACTTAGTGCATTAAAATTACGGCAAAAATGTTATTCCATTTTTTAGTAAACTTTGAAAATATACGTACTATCAAAGTTGCAGCAGCTGATCCATTTGTAGACTTAAAAGTTGATATAACTTTTAAACTATTGGAGATACGACAATAAACATTCAAGTCATTTTTGTAGGCAATGAAATTATCTATCAGATAAGTCATTTGTCAATTCCGTACCTTTTGTCAATTTGTTGTTTTTTATATTTGTTTATAAAAATTGATTTTTTTTAAGTTTTTCGAACTTTTGCGGCTTGTAGCTCAGTAAATAATGCAAATTCGGTTATTGAACTTTAAGGCAATTTTGTTAAGCTATTAATTATTTAACATTTGCAATTGTTTATTTAATTGTCAGTCAATTTTTTTTTATAAACCATTATAATTTGTTTACTAAATCTTTGGATTTAGTAAAAAATTAACAAATTGACAATAGGTACGGAATTGACAAATCACTTATCTGAGAGATAATTTCATTGCCTACAAAAATGACTTGAATGTTTATTGTCGTATTTCCAATATTAAAAAAACCAAAAAAGGTTGACAGCTGTGTGCACGTAGTTTAGATTCAAAAAGGAAAAACTTGTATTTCGTGCAAAACTTTTTTATTAATCAATGCAAAGCGCTTTCGGCTTATTTGCCATCATCAGTGCTCATCTACAAAAATTGTGGATGTAAACTTACAATTTAAAAAGATTTAAAAAATTTATAAAATCTGAATTAGACTTTTAAGTCAAAAGTTAAAATAGTATATATACAATTGTTTGAACGAATTAAAAATTACAAGAAACAGACAAAGTGACAAAAAACCTGGTATTGGGAATAGTGAGTGTGGGATAAGCCCCTACAAATCAAATCTGATCTCCAAAAGCAAGTTAGCTTGTGTGGAATTAAGGAATCATGCCACCCTCACTATTCACAAAATTGAAAAAAGGTTAACAAATTAATTAAAATTTAAAGAAATTTACAATTAGAGGGTGACTGTGGAATATATATTTAAATTTGAATCTATAATGCAATATTTGATATGAAGAAAGTAAAACGCAGAAGGCCAAAGTAAAAAAACTGAAGGTTTTTTTATATGTTTTATATACATTATAATTATGAAAAAGTCTACCTACTGTCCACAACGTATCCAACAAGTTCCTGGTCATCCTCACTCCCAAAATTATAAATTTCGGGATGTTTACAACTTGCTAAATCATAATTTTATTAATATTAATATTTTCAAATTTAAATTTATCTCATTTTGGTTCAAGTTGTTTAACCGTTTCCACATGACAGTGGTGACAAGCGACACTTGAAGACTTTGACTTGTCAAATGTCAACAGAAGGAGGTGCGTTCACCTCAGTGTGGAACATGTTTCTCCGAGTGTGATTCGAGTGATTGGAGGTTAACGGAGATCAAAATTTGTTATTGAATTTAAAGATTTCATTTTTTGTTATTTAAATTTAAATAAATGTTTAATATGAAAGATATTATTATTTTGATGTCAGGACAAAACAAAAATGTCACTCAGTATTTCCAATAGTTTAAAAGTTATATCAACTTTTAAGTCAACAAATGAATCAGCTGCTGCAACTTTGATAGTACGTACATTTTCAAAGTTTAATAAAAAATGGAATAAAATTTTTGCCGTAATTTTAATGCACTAAGTCGTTTTTGGAATTTTTATTTCTTTCAGGAAAAAAATAAACCAAAGTTGGAAATTTGTTTATAACAAATTGTTAACTTAATAAACAATGGAATTATTAATAAAAAAAATTTTTTTGCTGTCACTTTGTAGAAGACTGTCAATTATGATTTAAAAAAACACATTTCTTTACTAAATTTAAACAATAGATATATTAAAAAAACGATTATAAACAATTAAAAGTTATTATTAAGAAAAAATTTTTTTTTAAAAATCGTAATTGGCAATTGTCTAGAAAGTTGTAAAAAAAATTTAAATACTCCATTTGTTTATAAAAAATTTATAAACAAATGGAGGAAAACATTTTTTTTTTATTTATAAATGTCTTTTCTCGACATTAAAACAGTTATTATAATAAATAGCACCACTGTGACTTTTCTGTTTTTGTAAACTTTAAAAAATTATTATAAACAAAGTATTAACATTTTTTAAACTTTTATGAAGCTATTTTGTTTTATATGTATATAAAAAGAGCTCCACGAAGCAAAAAAAATTACGGTAATCATTTAATATTTTTATCAATTTGTAATGATGAGAGAAATTCTAAAAAATTTGTTAATTAACAATAAGCTACTTTGTTGGAAAATTAATTTTTATGAAAAATTCCAACGGAAATGAATTCTTCTAAGTGTTTAGAATACACCGTAATTTTTTTTTTTTCAATTTAATTGTATTAACTTAAAAATATTATTTTATGTAACGTACTCGGTTTCGACGCCGTGCGCGCAACCTAAAAATTGCGCGCGGAAGGCTACTTTGAGCGTTAAATTAAAATTATAAATAATGGAGGTACAGTTTCGGGAGTTGAAACTTATTTATAGCAAATTTCCTCCTCTTTAAAGATATTTTTTGAAAAATCCAAAAATATTTATAGTGTACAAACTATAGGCGAAAAACCAAACACCATGTTTTTGAGGTGTTTAATTGTTTATAACTTTTGCAATTTTTTATGCACTGCAAAATTTTTCTTCACACATTGATCTAGACATTATTCCGAATCGAATGAGCTATTGAACATAATTTTCGTAATAGTATGGCCCAAAAACACGCTTTTGAACTTGTTGATTAGACTATAGTATAAATCATTTAATTTGATCAATTTTAATAAAATATAATGCATGTTACGGTATTAGCCAAGAGAGTAATTGTTTTTTGGAGATAAATGGTCGCTCCACGTTTCTGTGTCACGAATATCGAGTTTTTCTCATTTCCTTTAGTATTATTTTTAAAAAGGTCACATTTAAGTATTGAAATATATTTCCTTCGTTTAAATTAAATAAACTTTAAGTATTGATTCTTGTTCGATATTTCCATTCTTTTTTATTAAGATTTCTGTCGCTTATTGCTTTCTTTATTTTTATATTAATTAATTGAAATATCGTCCATAATATGTAGGTCGTTATTTTTTTTATAGAATAAAGTCGCCTAATGTAGTATAGGTTCCTAAAGTGAAATACTCTATTATGACAATTTATACGCGCCATCTACTTACAAGCCAGTTCACTTTCGTGCGTAGGTACATTGCTTTGATAAGACTAGCTTCAGTGACATATTTTTTTGATGTTTCCTTCATTTGAATTTGGGCATAAGCATGGACAAAATCAATTTTACTGAAAAATTTACTTTTATTTAAAGCAACAAATAAATTTTTAATTCTTGGCAAAGGGTACTATGTAATTCAGAGTTTAAAGTTACGCCAAAATTACCACAGATTCGATTATCGCCTAATTTTTTTTTAAATGGGCACTATGGGCACTCTGAAAATTCTACGCGGCGATACAATTTCGGTTTTAACTAAATTTTCAAGTTTAGAGCGATTGGTAAATTTCTAGATCTACAAAAAACCGCCACGGCATTTTTTTTTCAAATGTAGTTTAGCTTTACTTTCAGTAAATTTCCCTAAACCATCTTTAAAAACATCAGGAAATTTTTGTTTCAAAATTTCAACGATCTTTTTTGAATCAAATGTATCAATTTTATTTATATATTGAAATATTTAATTCCCTGGGCTAAGATCTACCAACAATAGGTGGGCCTCCATTTTCAATGACATATAATTTTAATTTTAGCGATTTATTTAAATAAGTTACCGGAACTTCAATGAAAACTAAAGTATTTATAAGATATCCTGCATAGGATATTCAGAAATTGCAGAAATATGACTTTTAGTATCAATTTCCATATTTATGAACTGTTCATTTAAAATTAAATTAATATTTAAAGCTTTAGTTTTATCTCTTATATTAAAAAAAATTTATTTATGTTTTTCAAAACACTTTATGTGATTTAAAGATGACAAAAAATCTAATTGATCATCAGAATCTACTGAGTTATCTTCATAAACAAATTTTTGTGAACTGGGTCCTTTTTATTTAAATATTTAGGGGGGTGAGTTGGCTAGTGGTTAGAGTCATGAATTTGAGATCGAAAGGTCTCAGGACCGATACAGCACAAACATATTTCGGAAATATTTCAAAAATATTACATTGAAACATTCGTTATGTTATATAAATATTACAAAATATCCCTGAAACATTTCTGAGATGTGACTGAAACGTAAAAATGTCCTGTAAATATAATATTTCACAGTAATATTTCTGAAATAAAAATTTTAAACCTTTTAAAAATATTAAATAGTAATATGAATTATCAATTAAAACAGCATTTTTTCTGCGGCTTCAATATTTATTGGTAATTCTAAAGCCGTGTTGTAAGTTAACTTTTTTCTGTAAAAAGTCGTTGACGAATAGTATCACTGCGGAGACCGAAAACTAATTTGTCATGTAGGTTTTCTTCTAAGTTGACAGCAAAATTACATGTTTCTGATAATTTCTTTAAGATGGCTAAATATTCTGCTAGGGACTCTTATAACGGAATTTGTACATCCGGTTGTGTGTTTTTAGCAATTTTACCAATTCATCATATTTCATAGTTTCGGGCTTTCTAGGACTACATAAAACTCTAAAGTGTCATTACCAACTGCAGTTAGAAGTATGTCAGATTTTACTTCCTCTTTAATGCCATTTACAATAAAATATTGTTCAACATATGCAATATGAGTAGTCCATTTTTTTTTCACCAGTTCCAATTTACCAATAGGCATCCTCATTCGTCAGTATTTTATATATTTAGATAAAGTTATAGTTTCACTAATATAGGGTGAGTCGGGAGGAGCGCACCAAACTCTAGGAGTATATTATACACGTGTATTCTCAATTCGTCTAATTAGTGCATCCCATGTGTCCACTTTTATTTTGTAGACTTCATTTTTCATCCAGCCCCATAAACAAAAATCTAATGGTGTGAGGTCTGGAGATCTTGCAGGCCAATTAATAGGACCTCCACGGCCAATCCAACGCCCTGGAAAACGTTCGTCCAAATGTTGCTTGACCTGACGAGCGACATGTGCAGGAGCTCCATCGTGCTGATAGTACATCTGCATTCTAATATTTACAGGAACATCCTCTAGCAGGCCTTGTAATTCATTTTGTAAAAATTGAGGTAGTTGTCTCCTGTGAGACGATTCTCCAAAATGAAAGGGCCAATTAAATAACTGTCAACCATACCACACCACACGTTTACAGAAAACCGATGTTGTAAATTGCTTTCGACTGTTGCGTGGGAATTTTCGTCTGACTATACATGATAGTTACGAGTATTATTAATGCCATCACGGGTAAATGTAGCTTTATCCGTAAAGAGTATACTCGATACAACACGATGATTATTATTTATCCACCGACAAAACTCCATACGGTTAGCGTAATCCTGCGGTTGTAGGTGCTGTACTCTCTGTACGTGTTAAAGATATAAGCCTTGCTCGTGGAGTGTGTCTATCACTCTTTTTTGTGGAATTCCCAATTAAGTGGCAATTCTCCGTGAGCTAGTAATTGCATCTTCTTCTACTAGATGCAGAATATTTTTTACTTCTACAAAACCTTGTCGAGTAGCGCGTTCAGATGTTATGAAAGCACTGGGAAGCTTACCAGTCTCGTACAATTTGTTGAAAACTCTAATAAATACGTTTTTATCAGGATGTCTTCGGTGTGGAAAACGTTGACTATATTCTTCAGCAGCAGCTGTAGCATTTCCATTACAGAAACCATAAACAAACACCATATTTGCATATTCTAAATTTGAATAAGTATATGGCACTAACAATTACATAAATTCGAAATTAAACGTTCAGTTACTGTTCACTGTACACTAACAGTTCATCAAAACGTCAGAATTATCAAATGTCTTTGAGCCTTGAACATATGGCATACTTTGATAATGTTAAAATTCAGAAGTGGAAAGCTAGATGAACATTTTTAATTACGCCATAACTTGAAAACAAATGAAAATCGGATAAGAACATATGAGTTTTTTACATTATTTTCACGTGTATGATATACTCCTAGAGTTTGGTGCGCTCCTCCCGACTCACCCTGTATAATAACTATAGAATATTTAATTGAGGTATTTATTAGATAGTTACTCAAACAAATTTCAGATTATAACTAAATTTATTTTCTTCACACAAAACAATAGAAGTCATGAAGTGCCTTTTATAGAAATAACACAAAATCCTAATTCTAATGAATGCATCTATCGGTAGCGTACTATAGGCGTACCGATAGGGTTTTATTAAATATATTACAAGGAGGAGGAAACCTCCATTCATATTATGACTGAATTTGTAGCACTCCAGAATCATAGGGTACTAAACTTAAGTCCATACCAAGTAGAAGAGGTACAAATTTTAGCAATGAAAGGCAAACGTCAAATTCGATCACTTACCTCTCAGAACGCAGATTCTCAATAACCGTTTCGAAGTGTATGAACGCAGATGCAATATTATTTGTTCCAGTGATAATTATATTGTCTCATAAGAATTGCAATGAACAACTAAAAAAAGATGCTGTAGCTGGAAATTTATTTAAATTTCATCCATCAGGATGGATCCAAATGGATCTATTTACTGCGTGGTTCAAGTACTTTATTGAATAAGTGTGTCTATCTGAAACCAATCCTGTCCTTTTACTTTTAGTAGAACACAACACACATACAAGGAAATTTAACGTTATTAATGGCTAAAGAATATTTTGTAACAATTCTTTCCTTGCATAAAATGAACCCAACCTATAGACAAAACAGTCAGTCATAGGAGCTTCAAAAATATTTTAAAATGAATAAATAAATAATTTCTCAAGGCACAATCAACGTCCTATTCTTCATTTTGATGTGGTGAACTTTTTGGGCAATTGGCAGAACAGGATGTCACAGGATTTTCAACTAGAGGGATTTATCCTACTAAGAGATACATTTTTAAAGAAGAGGATTTTTCTAGCAGTTTAATACCAAGAAGAGATTTGTAATATTGCTGCAACATCTAATAATTCCATTCTAACTGCTGCCAATAACTGCTGAAGAAGAAAATGAAAACCGAAGTAAAAGTGGCATTAGCCGTAAGTCCAAAAAATATTGTACCAATACCCACTGTAAAGAGACTAGTAGGTAGGTACTCGAGGAAGAAAACCAGTAAAAGCCCCACTAATAACTAGCACAAAAAATAAGGAGGACCTTGAATATATAAAAATGAAAGACACAAAAGTACCGACTCGAAAAAAAGAAATTATCAAAAAAAAAGTATTTTTCGAAGCTCAGTAACGTAGGTGTTGGATTTGTAGGTTATTAAAAGTTAAACCCAACACAAATTATAAATACGGCCCTAAGGCGCGCTTACCAAGTGTACTGTTTTCTTTCTGTGCTAGCTGCAACCATCTCCATACGAATAATGAAATTCCAACACTTCGTAAAAAACAATTTATTCATTAAGTGCTGAATCTACTGCATTATATAACTGTACATAAAGAGTTTGCAGGACCTGAAAAAAATCATATGTTTGTGACTTCTGCTAGTTTAAAATTTTCTTTGAATTTATGTCTAAATTTTTATCTTCTCTTTTTAAATACGAGTTCATTTGCTGTTCCAATTTCATTGCTTTCTTAAAATATTTTTTGATCAAAATTTTAAAATAACTGCTATTTTTCACTTGTGATATAGGTATTTCACATTAAGAATTCACTTTTGAAAATCTAAAAAAGGTTGTTTTTTATATTTTTGCCATTTTTACGAGATTATGTATTTTTGAAACATGAATTAAGTACCCTTACCTGTATGTATAAAAAAATTTCGATAAACAATATTAAAATTTAAAACTTTTTTTATTAAAATAAAATGATATTCTACATTAGGCGACTTTATTTTCTCCTTGCTATATTAAGTGCAGTGGCGGCGCTGGTGGCCAATATTTTGGGGGTTCACAATGACAGAATATAGATCTCAAAACATATGTAGGTAAAAAACTTTCAGTGTTTTAGAAAGGTATATTAAATATATATTAAAACCTTTCTAAAATACTTAAAGTTTGAGTTCTATATTCTGTCTTTTTGAACCCCCAATACTTTGGTCAAGAGCCGCCACTGATTAAGTGTTTATGTTTTATGATGATTTTTAATAAATACTATTACTTTATATTATCTTTTAGTTTTCAGGCGGACAACGGCATCTCGGCACAAGAAACAAGCCAAATAAAGAATTCAAACTCACAGGAACCCGTAGAGGAGACCCAAGGTAATTTTGAATACACGGCACCAGATGGTTCTTCAATTCAAGTACGTTATATTGCTAACGAAGACGGTTTCCAACCTCAAGGTGCTCATCTACCAGTGGCTCCGCCCATTCCAGTTGAAATCCAGAGGTCTCTGGAATGGAATGCTGCCCATCCAGAGGAGGATGACGCTGGAAAGGGGTCTCCTAGACGACTTTGAGATTCCTATACGTGTTTATTTAGAGCAAAAATTATTGTTTTTTGTTGCAATGTATCTGGGAGTTAATTTTTAAATTTGCTAAGATATTTCTTTGAATTTAATAGTGTTTTATGTATATTTATATTATTTTATTGATGTGAGGTTTTATGATGCCATTATGGCAATTAGAAACAAAATTAATGTGGTATTTATGTACTTTGATTTATCGTAAATAGTAATCAAAATATTTATCTTTTATCGAAAATTATAAGAGAATTAATAAAAATGTAACAGTATAATACTGGACGGGTTATATTATTATTACTCGTGTATGTTGCTTTAGATAAAAATAACTTTATTAAATGGATGAAAGAGAGCACCAAGGTTATTCTAAAAAAATTGAATATATTGTATATAAGTTTTAATTGAAGAAAAAATAAATTAATATAATCTTTCCATTAATGATAAGTTGACTACAAATTAAAGAAAGGTAGAAGAAAAGGATCTAACTTTTTTTATAGTGTTTTGTGTTGCTGTAGTTATTTTTGAAAGTAATAAACCAAGTTTCAGTTTGATAAAAGTTTCTATGCGTACCTGTAAAATTGTAAATAGAAAAATAACTAAATCATTCAGATATTTTACATTGTAATCGAAAAATCAATTAATTTTTGTTCTATTTATATTTTAAGATTCTCTTAGTTTTATTGTTTTTGTGTTCATATAATTTATAATTACCTGGTGTCCAAATAAGAAATGATGCTGGCGGTTGGCGGCTGTATGATTCAGCTTGTATCTCCGAAACTATGTGTGTTAGAATTTTGGGAAAACAATTTTAAATTGAAAAGTGGTCAGGAGGAATTGCTGGAAAGCGCTGAAAGTGGCTAAATGCTTATTCAAATTTTACACATATTACGATTTTCACATTTTTAAAATAATGTAATACAGCATTTAAAAAAGAAAAAAAAACCGTTTTTATACTTGGCCATGAGAATTACTCCTAACGGCGGAGTTATGAACTTTACGATTTTTATATAGGGACTACTTTTGTTAATAAAAACATCTCAGGTCTGTAAATATGGACAACGTCCTTTCTTATGTGGACACCCAGTATATATAGGGTATTGTATTTGTTACAACTGTTTTTATTAAACGCATTTTAAGCAGATTATTATTTTTATTATTTACAAATGGTTCCAACGAGGTCTTTGTATGGCTCCAACGCACACAGAAACTTTCGTGGAAAGGTCTTTCGAAACGACCATCAGTTCTTGCATCCACTCAATCAGTGGTTGTCAGCCAAATTCATTTGTTTCAACAGACGAAGAGATCTGTTATAATAAGGATATGATCTACCTGTTGGTACTTTATTAGTCGATAAATAAATTGGGCGATATTGAAGAGAACTGTGTTTATTTTACAAAATAAACAAATGTTTGACAAAATCCAAAATCAAAATTATTAATCAAAGTTACTCTAAAACATGTAAACTAGATTACACACCCAAAACCAATCTTATACAGGAGTGCGTTCATGACGCTCTACCCGAGTAGAGTTAAGATGGCGTCGGGTAAACTCGCAGAGTTAAAATATTATGGCTCAGTCATGAACGCTGTTGGGTAGTAGGCAGGGTAGTAGGATGTTTTTTATTTTGGTTTTTAGCTTAGGTTTGCAATATTTAAAATATTTTGCTAAAGATGGGCAATAAAAACAATAAATTACAAGTAGTTCCATCACTAATAATTTATTTTTCAAAGGAAATTATTTTAAATGATGCTGTAAGGAAAAATAATTTTTGTTCTCATAAGTTTCCCTATGCTCAACCACAATTATTTTGTTTTAATTATACTTAAATTATGTATATTCTTAGATAATATATTGTATAATAAATTCAAAATTAGGTAGTCATATTAATTGCATGATTTGCAATAACAGTCAAATACTAATAAAAAAGTCAGGTTCAGAAGCTTTATTGTTTTCGCCAAGCATCGGTCAATTTTGTCTATTCTGACAGGACATTGGATTGCCTAATACCTACAACTTAACCAACAAAATTTTTAGCGATTATTGAGCATGTGGAGTTATTTTTACGCACCTGTCTGACCAGCGTAAAGAATGTAAACTCTGTGTTAAATTTTAGCAGACTCGTGAACGACTTCCGCGAGTAAAAGTGTAAACAAGCGATGAATAATAAACGGTTTGAGACAACCATGGAGGAAGAATTATTAAGAGTTGCCGTTTCTTAGTAGAAATTTGCTTGCATGTTTGCTTGCAGCGACCTGTGGGGGGAGGAGTAGAACTAATTTTACTCTGTCGGTAATGTAGTTAACAGCAGTATTACCATCAACTCTTACTATGTCGGTAATGCAGTTACCCGTAATTTTATATTTGAAAATTTGAAAATTGGCGTTTTTTTTTTGAAAGAGAATTTACTTTTGCAACTTTTTTCTAACTAATATGAAATATAGCCATACAAAATTTTGGTAATAATTTTTTTAATTTTTAGTGAAATAAACATGTACGTGTAGCTAAAATATGTTCCTCTGGAGCCACTTTTTCAAAATTTAATCAAATTTTGATGGTAATAAATCGCAAAATTTTGTTTTTATAAAGATTTCAAAAATTGAGAAAATAATTTAATCAAATTTCGGAATAGTGGCTCCAGAAAAACGGACATTTCACTTTTACCTGAAGGTACATATTTTTCATACACTAAAAAGTAAAATTAAACTATAGAAATATTTATGGCTCTATTTCGTGTTGTTTAGAAAAAGATAATTGATTAAGTAAATTTTCCGTTTAATTATAATTAAAATTTTCCTTTTTTATTAGCTGTTTGTAACAATTATGAAATGCCCAATAAAAATGTAAAATTCTTTGACAAATAATTATAAGGGATAAAATAAATATCATACAAAGTTTTATATAATTATATTTACTAAAAATTCCCAAGATAAATAAATAAAAAATATATCAAAGAGATGGCAATACAAAAAATTATTTTTCATGCACTTCACTCCCATACAAGCGAGCTTATGCGAAGCAAGAATGTCTATTATTATTATTATTTACTATGGCGCTCCCAGACGTCTTATAAATGATTCAGAAAAAAATTAAATGCAGTAACTTGAAATCATTTTCTTTGTCTTTTAGACATTGCAGCAGCCCTCATACTATCATTATAATACTTTCTTATTATTAATAGTAGACAAGTTTTAACTAAATGAGAAAAGACGTCTGTTTTATGTTCTTTATATGTAAACCAGAGACGGCTTGTGACCTAGTCTGCGAGGAGGCTGGCTCACCCTATATACTTTAAACAAATATATATTTCTATTAGAATACAATGTAATATTTCTGCTTTTTGTATTCTTATCTTCGAGCATATATATTTCATAGAGTCCGCATTCAATAGGGTTTGTTTACGTTCTGAGGGGAAATGTCAAGACAATATTAACAGTGTCGCATCATTTTTACGGGGTTTGCAATTAATATAAATAATAAATTTGATAAATACCTTCAAAATTCTTTAAATTATGCACATATCTTATAAACTAGCATTATTTAAGTAGGCGCCTATATAGTAATAGTAAATAATAATAATAATAATTATTATTGTTATTATTATTATTATTTATGTTGGAAACATCAGATTTTTTTAATTCAAACATCAGAAAGTGTATAACGGAAAAATGAAGGTTGAAATAAAAAAGATAAAAAGCTTATATTTAAAAATCAAAAATATAAATAAATAGTAGGTATATTAAACAAATATTTATGACCTCTTGACACACGTGTACAAGAATTACAATACAAGAACTTTTTCCAATAATTTATTAAATATAAAAATATTGTTCGTAACCAATGTATGTTCAATTACTAAACGATATACTACAAATAGAAATCAAGCTAATACTTAGGTACATTTGCACTGCTTGTCGTTAACAAATAAGTGAAGCTTCCTTCATTTTTATTGGAAAACTGTCTTAAGCTTCGATTATTTCTTAATGACTAGGAGTGCAAATAATAGAAGCTTAAAATGACTTTTTTTATTGAAAAACTCACATTAGGTTTTGCTGATTTCTTAACTACTATTAGTCTACTTAAAGAACATAGGTACATTTATTAAAAAATAATTATTGTCAATTTTTGTGGTTTATAAAAAATATGGGTAGTAATAGGTAATTATTATAAAATAAAATGTATGTTGTATTAAAAAGTACTTAGTTATTTACATGCTTTCTAATTCTGCGTTTTCTTTTTCTGCAACAGAGGCTTGATGGTTCAGATCAACACTGAAAAATTAAAAATTTTAAACGATTAACCCACAAGAAAAGTGCAGGGTTCTTTACCTTTTAGATTCATCTTCTTCTGGGGCCTCAGTAAATTCTGATGGCAATGCACCTAGGTAATTCTAGAATTAATCTAGTTCTTCCTCCACATCCAGTCTTACATAAATATATACCCAGAAATAATTGGAACATAAAACATCACTATTTGAAATGTTTTCTGGGGTAAGTTTAATATGTTTCACTAAATGCGTTTTATCGGCAGAATTAGCTAGAAACCTACAAAAAACAAAAATTATTGATTTAACATCTTCAACATTATCATGATAAAATGACTTAAAAACAAAAAGCTTGTTTATGTTGAAAAATTACGATTATTTTTTTTTAACTTTTCAGTAGAGTCCAAAATCAAAAACAATATTCCTTATACATATTACAAGTTCTTTAAATTTAATTCCCTAAATTTACCATTTATTTTAAATTTATGTTTAACGGCCTTTTTCATAAAATGTAGGTAGTGTTTCTTTTAAAAAAATGGTAGAGACGCTAATGGTTACTAACCTGTGAAATGCCCTTGATGCCTTTTCTTATTTCTATTTACAACTTACACAAACTCTCACCATTGTTAAAATTTGTATCAGTAAAGTAATAAAATACAAAAAATCACTTATAAACTACAAAAATAAGCTAGAAATTAATGAAAATCAAAAATCAAATGACACTTCTGTCAATTTTGAACGATTTGACATGCCAAGCAAAACGAAACAGACCAATGGGAATGCTGGACACTGTTTTTCCCCCCTGTACCAAAACAAAGTCCATTTGAACGATTACTCTAGCAAATATTTTTTTATTAAGTATATAGGGTGTGCCTTTTAAAAGTAGTCTCCTCATAGACTAGGCCACGAGTCGCCTCTGATGTAAACCATTTAAAATCAACATGGTCTGGTAAAAAGTTTAATTTTTTGAATTATGTTGTCAATATGACCCAAAAGTGATAACACTATTTCATGAATTTTTGAAAGAAATTCAATAACATTTCTTTGTACACAAACAAAACGTTTTTTATCATCATTTTCTTTAAAATAAGTAAAAGTATCGATGGTCTTCTAACATGTTTGTAAATTAACTTTACACTCTTTGCAGTCAAAACTATTAAGTTTCTTAATAAACCCTGCAACATAACTAGTGGCCTGACTCAAATTTTGCTTCATTTATTAATTTTGTATATATTATTAAAATGAACTTTATCTTCACAGGACTCTATTTGGGGGTGTCATAACAATATTACTAAGTACTACTATCTTTGGTGTATCTGGTTTTGAGGATGCTAAAGCAAGGCAAAGCAAATCTTTTAGCAGTCTTGAACGATTTGTGTTTGTAAACGATTTTGTATTAAAATATGATTTTCACATAATGTATAATGATTGGCTGTAAGTGGAATGAGTGGAATGTTTAAAATACGACACAATTCCTTTCTTTGATCAATATCAGAAGAAAATTTAAAAATGTTTATTCTTAAAATTTACGTTTGGAATGGGCCTTATAAAATCTACTATAACAATTAGAAATTATGCGTTTATAATGAATTCTGTCTGGTAAAGACATGTTAAAGCATCAAAATACCTTTACTTGATTTTAAATAATCCTAAATAACTTATATC